TACTATGCCCAGTGGCAGGAACGACATGCTGCTGGGGACAAAGGGGACTATCGGAGTTATTCCACAGCAGTCGGCAGCCAGACCCTTGAACTTCTGCAGGAGCAATTCAGAGAGGCTAGCTCATAGTCCCTGCAATACAGGAAGAGGTCATCTTGGGCCTAGCTTGGCTCAATAAGTGGGGCCCACTAATATGGTGGGGAGGAGGTTGCCAACATCTGTGGATAGGAATTGGACTTAATCCACTGCCACATAAAACACCAGTACACATCTTTGGTGAGAGGGGGGCTGTTGGAGACACTGTGGCAGGAACCAGAGTGGAGGATGAACCGGTAGCTTATCCTACAAAGTATGAAGACCTTGAGGCAGTGTTCAGTGAACAGGAGTGCGATACTCTACCACCCCACAGACTGTGCAATAGAGATCATGCCAAATTGCTGTAGCCCAAAATGTATCCAATGACACCCCAGGAATTGGCAGAAATGCAGAAATATATTGATAAGAACCTGAAACAGGGATTTATACAGCCAGCCTGGTCCCGAATAGCAGCCCCGGTTTTGTTCAGGGAGAAAAATGACAGGGGTTTATGCTTATGTGTTGACTTCCGTGGAATCAATGCAGTGTGTGTAGAGCACATGTACCCCCTTCCATTGATGAAAGACATGCTGGCCCGTTTGGCGGAGGGTCGCATATTCACAAAACTGGACCTGCGGGAGGCATATTATTGCATGAGAGTCAAGGCTGGGGACGAATGGAAAGCTACCTTTAATTGTCCTTTGGGGAGTTATCAATTTATGGTCATGTCCTTCGGGCTGCAAAAGGCCCCAGCTGTGTTCATGCAGCTTATTAATGAGGTTCTGCAAGAGCACTTATATAAGGGCAAATTATATACGCAAACTACTGGCAGTGAAATTATATGTAAAGTTATTGAAGTGTGAGTTCCACAAAACGAGATTGGATTACCTCGAGTTCCAGATCTCCCCGAAAGGAGTGGAAATGGACCCTGTAAAGGTGCAAGCGGTGTTAGATTGGCAAGCCCCCAAAAGCTGTAAACAGCTACCAAGTTTTCTGGGTTTTGCTAATTTTTATCACCAGTTTATTCCATCCTTCTCCCCCCGTAGCCCTCCTGCTGACTGACCTGTTGCATACTAAACATCTGTCCAGAAAGCCGTGGTCACGTCACCCCGTACAATGGACTTTGGCATGTCAACATGCCTTTCAACAATTGAAATTATTGTTTGTCAAGGAACCGGTATTAAAGCACCCAGACCCAACCTGGCCATTTATAGTACAAGGAGACGGCAGTGATGTGGCAGTGGGAGCTGTCCTGTTGCAAACCAACGAGGGGCTCTGCAACCATGGACATACACCTCCCATAAGTTGAATGAGACTGAACGCAAGTGGGCCATATGGGAGGAGGAGGCTTTTGCAGTCAAGTGAGCCCTGATGACCTGGAGACACTTGTTGGAGGGGGAGGGTTACGATTTGAGGTCTGTGTTAGGTATAACATTGATACCAAATATAGTTTGGGTGAATAAATAT